GCTGAAGCTGCTGTAAAACACAACAAAAACATTGTCAAATTCAACCTCGCATTCATCCACGAATGCCTGGCCAGTAGGTCTGCACAGTGGGCTCAAATCAAATACACATCAACTCACACTACCTGTCTGTCTTCACGCTGAAGTGTGAATGTCCAGTGTCCAAGATTGTGCAGCAGTGTTGTAGGATTGGTAAATGCAGGTTTGTTGCATTATATCATATAATTATATCTAATAGGGTGGTAATAGCTGTAACATAAATGCAACACAAGACTATTACAAAACACAGTTGCAATATGTGCAAAAACACAGTTGCAATATGTGCAACAAACATGGAATAACATTAAACATTAAAATAAAATGCTCCAGTAGCCAGAGACAAGAGTTAAGAGAGCTAAATGTGTGTTGCATTTGATTGTTGGAGGAAAAATATCCAGAGACCAACGTCGTCCTATTAGTGTTGTGATTTATTTTTTTGTTTTGGAGAAGATTTGGATTTTCCTCCATGACATCCTTCCTTTATTGTATTTGATTCACAAATAAAGATTTTTGTTTTTGTTCACTGTACAACGTTCAACACCACCCACCGTCTCACACCACCCAAACAAACACGCACGCACACACACACGCACACACACCATCAAAGTGACCAGTGAAAACTAAAAACGCAGACAATAGTACATATAGCTTTCAGTTCTGTAAGTAAAGTTTAAATAGGTAAATAAGTTTATCTTTTTTACTATGTGCATCTACAGGGCTCCACTTTCCTCTGTGGTTAGTCCTGGTCAGTTCAGCCATTATTAGATCATTATTTCATTCAGTATTTTAGATGTTATTTTGGCTATTATCAATCATGTGACAGATTCATACAGCAGCACACGTTTAGACCTGCATACGGGACTTTTTGGACTGAGATGCATTAACCTGTTTGGCTGTTAGGGGGAGCAATGACACAGAACAACAGAGAGGCTGTTACAGTAGGCCTGCAGAGGAGCTGCAGTATACAGGGACTCCATCTCAGCAAGATATAAGATTATTTACATCAACATGACTCCAAAAATACCCCAAAAAGCGAATCAGTGAAACCACTTCAAACTTTTAGCATTATTACTTGTGTTAGGAGGCCCATCAGTAGCCTGGCCTCTTTTAAGGGCTCTTGAGCAAGACGACAAACTCGCATGCTATTGTTAGTTAAATCGCCCTGCTTGTACATGCGTGACTGAACTGAGAGGACACTCACCCGTGGGTGCTGCCTTTGTTACTGCAACAAATGCTCCTTTTAATGGTCTTTCAAATCCAAACCCATACCGGACAGTTTAATTGAACCAGCAACCTGCCGGTTATAATGAAGTTGGACAGTGTGGAGGTCAGTACCATGCCCCCCTGCGAGTGTTTGATGTTTTAATTTTTGAGGAAAAAATCGTAATATTTTACACTGATTGTGTTTGTTTTATAGGTCCAGATATGGAGCCTTTATTCTACTCGCTGATATTGTCTAAGTCGATGTTATTGTGAGATAATGTGGATCATACTAACACAAGAATACAATTATTATTACAGTATTTTATAATATGTAGAAGGACAAATATGAATACTGACAAGTAAAGAAAAGAGTTGTGCGTAATAGCTGAGGGGTTGTTTGGAAGATAGACTACATGCCTCTCGCTCTCACACACACTTTTCATGTCAAAGGTTTTCCTTAACATCCAGCTCTTAACAAGTAGTTTTTCTTTAAGTCAGTTGTTAGTTTTTGTTCCAAAATGAGAATAGTCACTGTTTGCTCTTTAACACAACATAAAGTCACACGTCTCTTCCTGAAGGACAGGTCACGTGAGGACTTGAATTGAATTTACACAAATTAAACTTAATACACCGTTTATATTTTGATTTTCATTTGCGAATTAATTAATAAACACGAGCATGAATTGGATTATATTCGAACAGGCATTTTGGAAACAAAATCTGGAATTGCGCTGAACAAAAAGGTACAAAAATGGCTTAAAGTTTGTACGTACGTATGCAAGAAATGAAGCACTGACGAAACACGAATGGAAACTGATTCGAGAGATTTTTCATTCTTATTTTTGAACAAAATTTATTATTAAGAAAGAATAATTAGCTAAACTGTGTGTGAGCAAAGTATGTGTGTTTATATGGATACAGAGAACAATTGTAATTATAGTAAGTCATCATTATCATAGTTTTTTGCGCTGTGCAACGACTTCAGATATATATTCTATTATATCTATTATATATATTATATATATATAGTTTTTCTATAACGCCAACATAAAAAAGAGAGTTATTATTACTGAAGAAATAAGGTTCTGAGGTCTTACCTTAATTATCGAAGTTAAATTCAGTATATGACTCGCTTTTATTAAAAATAGATAGGGTAATTAGATATTTTTTACACACACACACTCTCTCTCTCTCTTACACACACACATACACACACACATACTTGCTTCTGTGTGAGTAGAGGCAGATGTGCAGACATGCATAGACTACAGTATAATGGCGAACGCTGTGCTGACAGAGCTTCGCCACTAGATGGCGACATAAACTCTTAATGGTTAAACCCACAGAGGGTCTGAGCTCAATGAGGGCTCTCTCATGCAGGCCTCTTGGCCTAAATACACTATCATCAGTTTAGGGAATATACTATGGCCATGTGTCATTTTACCATACTTGCCAATCGTCGATCGATCAGTATATATTTCCAACTTTGACTAAAACATATGAATGAAAATGACAAGATCACGTTACGTCTCTTAAACATTTATTGTCAGAAACGTTGGCTATTGCAGTCGAAAAGAGGGAGAATAGATAGTTGCAGTCAGATAGTATTTACATGTATTAAATATGCCTACGTTTTCAGTACTTCTCTGCAAAATGATTCTTGACTGATAGACAGAAATTGCCCATAGGTCAGCCTGTTGACAGGCGAGTTATTCTGATATTCAAAAACCCTGTGTTTGGAAAAGAAAAAAGACACGTGACATGGACAAAGTGGGCAAACATACTGAAATGCTCAGGCTAGTTTCATGGTTTGATAACGTTTCAGAAAATACAGACTGATTAACCAAGAGATAGAAGTTTATTTTACATGGAGCGATTTAATCTTTAAAGGTCTGCTTTTTAAGCTTCCAAACTGTGGAACTGAGTTTATCTAAAGAATTTAATTATGTACACACCCAAGAGGTGTTGTTAGCTACCATTGCATTTGCAATGACAGAGTATGGAGATATATTTTACTTTTTCGTCTAAATTCTGAACATATCATTTAGGATTCATTTTCTGTTATTCCGTTATTATTTGTTTAAATTTGCCTGTTTGCATTGTGATGGTCACAGACTAAAAGAGATTGGTTTCAATGTCTAAAGACGAAAGCTGTTATTGTAATTTATTCCAGATTCAGTCTTAGTTTCTGGATTGTGTGAGGTGGAATAAAAGCGCAGGATTGCCCGGGGTGTCTCATGCCTTCAAGGCAGAATGTCTCATTGTCTGGTGAATATTTGAAGGAGATCATGCATCCCCTCGCAGTATCGCCTCGCAGTATCGCCTTGGTCAACGTGTTGCAACCCATTTCCGATCTTCTGTCAACAGGCCGCATCGACTGGTTCCAATTAAAATGTGAGGAAGGAAATGTGTAGGTCAGAACAGAGGCGCTCTGGCGACAGAGAACCCGTTCATATAATATAATAAATTATAGCACAGTTTTTTGGATGAAGGCGCATCCATGTCCGCCCTTCACCTCCTGTTTCAGTATCTCCAGAGCTAACTGGAGCCCTTGAATTTATTCACGACTTTCTTCTCCTTTACGCGCCTGTTCTGAAACCAGATTGTCACTTGTCTCTCCGTCAGATTAGTCTGCGCGGATATCCTCCTCCTTTTGTCCTTGGTGATGAATTTATTGGCGCCGTACTCCCTTTCCAGTTCCTTAAGCTGCACCTTGGTGTATGGCACACGCTTCTTTCTCCCACGGCGGATAGAACTGTCTCCACCAGATATAGTGTCTGTGGAGAAAAAAAAATGCAATATCACATTTAATCTGCTCGACTTTATCAGAAAGAAAACGAATGTTTTTTTTGTTTTTGTTTTTCACAGACATTTAATTCTCATTTTTAAATTGGTCTTCTTTCAGGCGCATTATCAAATATCAACTGTGGAAAACAGCATTTACATCAGACACATCTGTTGGGGGAGCTTAACTATCCATTTACATTAACATAACACATTTATGTGTTAATAAAACAATTTAAAAAATACCTTGTAACGAGGATTTCCACAGAGGATTTGACTGTGGCTGCTCCTTGGTGCAATAAACCTGACCACTCCAACCATTGGTGATGGCCCATGGCTGGTAGGGCTCCATGGGCAACAGAGGCTCATGTCTTGGCTCAGATGGAGCACTCAGGGCAGGAACGACAGGGACGTCCAAGTAGCTGGGCTGGTAAGGACCAGAGGAGTAGCCCTGATAAAACGCAAATTCCTTTGCCCTGGTTGAGAACTCCTCACCAGAGACCGATGAGTCCATGTATTTATCGCCATAACCAGAGGGCTGTGCGCAAGCCTTGACGCTGCCGTGTGACATCCTACATGGGTAATAACTGCTGCCAAAATATCCATAGGGCAAAGATGCATTGGGCGAGCTCTGAGTGGCCGAACAGGGACTGCATTGTTTGCCAGGCTCCCCCATGCCAGAGACTGGCACCTCGCTCGCAGTGTAGGTGGTGCTCGGAGCCAGCGAGGTTGGATGCGCTAACAAATTCCTGCACTGGTTTGCAGCAAAATTGCCTCCAGTAAATCCTTCCATGTTCTTGTTTCTTTCATCCAAGCCGTTGTCGTAGAGAAACATCACCGGGTCAATCCAGTGCGAATGGAGGAGTAATGAAGCGGTCATAGCATGCCCTACATCGAGACGACCAACTCTTTTTCAAAATCCCCTCGACTGAGCAGAGACAGGGACTCGGGCAGAGTAACGATACCAACAAGCCTGAGTACATAAAGATCGCAAGGTTATTGGCCAGGGCCAAGCACGTGATATGCAAAAGAGATGATAAACGTCTAGACATCAGATAATGCAGATCAAGCTGCATATTTGTGAAGATGTACTGTACATCAGTATACATTTCAGATATGCAAATAAGCCATAAGGGTATTTCTTTTTCAAACAAAGTGATATTGTGATCTCAAACTGAGTGGAACTGTGCTGTAAAGGCAGAATTTGTCTGTCTTCTAGTGCCATCACAACAAGCTTATTTGATGAATTGTGTAACACATGGCATGAGATAAACTATATGATGCATCTGCATGTTTTTAACAGCAGAATGGATGCGCAATTACGCGTGCCATTTCGGTTGCACGAGCATTTAATCAAAGAGTAAACCAAAAATGATGCCGGAGATGTGGATTTAAATGATTAAATGATTATTTTAGCTTTGTATCTAAAGACTGGACTTTTTATGCGCTTTAAGTCAAAGCTGCAGACTTTAAACAAATGTACCATCATGTTACTAAATTATCTGAACAGACTGACTGACTTAAAGAAAGTATTTTAAGCATAATGATTGTACAGGCGGTTTTAAAGAAAAGAAACAGAATGATGTCTTATGAATACATTTAAAACGAAAAAATTATAAAATGATAAATTTAATCATCCTCACATTTGGCACTGCGGCGTGTAAATCCAGACACAAATTCAGAGTTCACAAAAGCATGCCACATTTGGCTGCACTCTTCCTCATATGCGGGTGGAGGCCAAGGTCAAGTTGAAAGTTGCAGTCTGGCCAAATAGACACTTCACGCCAGGAAACCCGAAGAGAAAACCCCACAAAATGCCGAAGAGGAGTTTTAATCGGCAGACTGTGCTCGCCTTTTTTTTTTTAAAAAGACAAGTTACATTAACTTGTTCGCTTCTCTTTTCTTTCATCCCATCAGACACTGGAGATAAGAAAGCCACAGGCATTAAATGCTCAAAATGAAAGCTCAGGATTATTATTTTATCCTTCTACTAGAGTAAAAAAGTGACTTATGGACAAATAAATGATGCCTACAGGTTTCTAAATTCTGCGTAAATGCCTCCCTAGATGGGATCTTGTTTCCCTCCGTAGAGCTTAAAACAGCTTTGAATTAGGAGCACATATATGATACATAAACAAATCCTTCATGAGCCCAAGAATAAAGAAGCCCAAGAATAAAAATAAAATGATGTTTACGGTTTTGCCTATATATGGCACTGAAACATTCTGTGTGGGAGCGCTGTGACAGACTAAACGAGGTGAATGTGGACATGAGGGGTGCGACCGGTGTCAAACAAAATACTGTTTTAACGTTCAGAATTCAAATTTGTTTTAAATTTCTATGGCGAGACCACAAACGCAGAGAAATGTTTCTCCACCTAAATTTGAGCACCTTTTTATTTTTAATAGAGTTTTCCCACCTTTTGAGGCTGTAAATCTTTATGGCCCAAGTTCATAGCTCGTAGGCAACAGTGAGTAGTGGAAGAAAAGCGTAATGTTTTATGTTACTGAATAGGTTTAGGTCTGATTTTTGTTTTTATTATTGTTTTTACATTGTCATGATGACCGACCTTAGATAGACTCGGATTTTTTTATTTACTACTACAGTGCACCGCATTTTGGATAGATAAATTGCATACTTTCTTAAATTTCGCGTGAAACCGATTTGGGAGCGTTGGTTGGACAGGAATCATCTCAGCCACGTTGTTCACACATTAGAGGGCGGCTGCAGCAGCTGGTAGGAAATGTTATCTGAGCGGTTTAACGAAAAGACGACCCGTGTCTAAACTGCAAATTGGCAAAATGAGTTGTTGATAAAAAAAAAAGCATTTTATTTTCATTTCATTATGCCGTCAACACACACACACACACACACAAACACCAGGCTGCAGATGTGCAGACTTCAATATTTAAAACCAAGATACTTTGTGTTCATTTGACTAAAAATGACATGGGAACCGAGGTGCTATTATTAGTTACGGTGGTTAAAGGCACATTTAGGACAAATAAAAATGATGGTACTCTTTAAGAATCTTTGAGTTGTCGAAACGCTCACGTTAATTTACAACTAAAATGCTACAATTTGTATACACGTCGGCAATATACAAATATTAGGCTATATGAAATAATTAAAAGAATATGTCCTATTGTGCTCAAATGAATTAAAGGATTCCTGAAGTTGTTAATAAAACAACTGATTTAATATTGTATTTTGATAATGTTTTGATTTGACATTAGTTTTGATGGCTTTACAGTTCTTTAAAAAGCAGGGTTTAGTTTATTTTTTAGAATAGGGCCTATGGGGCGCGCACACGCGCGCGCGCACACACACACTCACACACACACACAGCTTTATATTAGAAATAGTCATTATAGCTTTGACAATCGAGCTTTATGGCTGCATTGGTTTGAATACAAAATGTAAAAAAAAAAAGGCTTGTAGGCTACAATATGTATTTACAAAAAAATGGAACAGCAACAAATGAAGTGTGTGAGAAGTCTTCGGTGTTAAGATGAAACATCCGCACTTTTTTCTCCAGAGACGGTCTAACTTGTTGGCGAAACCTAAAAAAAAAAACACCATGCACCTTCTTCCTGATCTACTGTAACTGCAAATTCACATCCATTACATGCAAAAAAATGCACGTGTCACCATCACCATGTTTAACATTTAAACAAAAATGGACCGCTCAATTCAAAGCTTACTGAAGTGTTGAAGAGGCTTTAGGTCGAGCAGGAGGGATGAGGCGCAGCGCTGCAGCAGATGATGCAGGCTGCGTGTCACAGTCTGCTGGAGGCCTGAGACCAAAGTGCTGCTCTGTTTGCGGTACCTATCAAGTAGATGACAACACAGCTCTTAGCCTACAGTGCTTAATGGACTTTTTATGGGTTTGTCTTGTGATCGCATGACCTATGGCACCTTGGCCCCTCAGTGGCTCTTGGCAAACTAGATCAGAAACATGCCGCCCTCCTAAGTGGGGATAGAAAAAGAGGTCCACATCCCCAAATTACTGAAGCTGTCTGCGTGATGCGACAGTCGGTCACAACTTTGTTTCACAGTGGTGGAGTAGGCAACATGCAATACACATATCCATTAGAGAGGAATTTTAACATCGGTTTGGATCATTTTGTCTTTTTCGTGTGCAGTTTTGATCCCGTGTTCCGCATCCCACCACTGAGTCCGCACTGCAGCCAAGTTTGTCCGGCATGTTACCGTGACTACAGGATGCAAACTTAAACATTTCAGAGGTATTTACTTGCTTGCGCTCGAAGATATTGATGTACAAATGTACAGCGAGAGTCAAATTTCATCGAAGAAATGACAATCATTCATCCTCTGTCTGGTGTTTGGGTTCATTTGCATTACTGAGGCCCCCATTCACGCAAAGCTCTCTTTGAATCTATGACAGTTGTTCCAACAAAAACCGAATTTAAAAGGCATTACTACACAAATCAGCAGCAATCAATGAATATTATGCTTCCAGTTAAAAAAAAAATAAATCTATTAATATTTCAGCTGAGTTAAAGTTAACATCCAAACCCAGAAATGAAAAACAGATGACACTTTAACAAAGGAATATGGTAAATTGTCACATCAATTGACATCACAATTTGTTTTTATTTCCTAACAGGATATGATCAGACATTCTTATCCCAAAGTAACACTTCCAATGTCAAAAAGAAAGAACCCTCCATGAACAGAAGAAAAAAACAAAACAGCAACATAAAGAAATAAATCACAAACAATATGTGGATAAATATGTGGAGACTAAACTGTGTTTGCAGCCTTCAGCCTCGACAGAGTTAATGAGTTGTCTTCTTAACACCACAGATGCCCACAGAAATTCTGGGATCTGCACGGCTGCCACTATTGATATCTTGGATCCGCCATATATCTGACAATTTACTCGCTTCTAAAACTGAAAGGAGTGTTTTAAAAAGGCTAGATCACACAGGAAACATGATTTCCAATAGGAGATAAGTGCACACATGATCTGTCACGCTGTGTTGGAGCTCTGTTGGCTTCATGTCTTTCACAACTTTTGAAAGAAAAAAAAAAAAGAGGTCCTCAGGGCAAAATGCACCCTAACTACACTATGTTAGTCCTGTGCAGGGTCAGGCCTGGCAACGTTGTGGACGGGGTGGAGGCTGATATTACTGGCCCTCCTCCTCACGCAGGAACTGGAATACGGAGGAGAAATCTTTATTGGCATAACCGCGCGCGCACATCATACGGTACATCTGATGGGCTAAGGAGCCGAGGGGGACAGGAGTCTTTGTGTTAGTGGCTGTGTTTTGTGCGAGTCCTAGATCCTGAAAAAGAAAAGCAAACATACATTAAAAAAAAACCCAACGGGGCTGAAAATTGAACTTAAAACCAAAACCACCAGTCCACACACCACAGAGAATTTTTCTTTATGTTGTAATAATATGGCCATGATTCGCTTTTAAGAGGGACATAAACTACTGCTCAACAGTTCACTGCATCATTTTGGTGGTGTGAGCTAAGATAGAAATTCCTTTTTTCCACATGCAGGGCATATGACACAGAAATCACTCCCTGGCTGATTCATGATAAAATAACTCACTTTAAACAAAGCATGAATACGTTATTTTTAAATCTTTTTGTTCTAAATAATATCGAGGCTAATAGGAACAAGTTATTTTTCCACACTAATGAGGAAAAATAACTATTACAACCATATTTGTGATGACAAGGGCAACATTATAATGGTCCTACGTTATTAGAAATAAGTTATCAAACGGACCTTAGCCATCAGCTGGGTGCCGAAGCCTCCCTGGTAGTTATTCCCAGAAGGAACTCCCTCCATGACTCCAGGCACAGGGTTGTAAGTGTCACTGGACCAGCACCGACCTGAACTCA